GTAAATGTACTCAAGTACTGTACTTAAGGAAACAGTATTATGAGAAATGTGCTCGTCTTTCTGTCACTGTGGTTTTACACTCTGGAGTTGAAAGCCCTACAAGAAAAACTATCTATTTCCTGTCAGCTCTCATGTGCGTTCTCCTCCTGCTCCTCTAATACGCAGTAATCTGTCTGTCTGCAGTGGAGCAGGAGCGTGACCTTCTGCAGCCTCGTCCCTACTGGAAGGAGTTTCGCTTCGACCTGACCCCCCTCCCTCAGGGTGAGGCAGTGACAGCAGCAGAGTTTCGTATCTATAAGACCCTGACGATGGGCCAGAGGGCAAACCGAACACTGCACATCTCCGTCTACGAGATCCAGCGAGAAAACAGACACAGGTTTCCTCTGGTTTACATTTTCTTGAGCATTGCTTTAAACTTACATTATTACTGTCAAAGTTAAAAGATACCTTGATGATATATATAGTTTCTCCACTTATTAAATAAATAAAATATATATGTACAGTATATAAAAGCCCATCCCTCAAACAGGGCCTGAGCTTTGTGAAGCAGACTAGAGCAGAAAACTGAATCCCTGAAAAGCTGCCGGGTGTTCATCTGCAGCCAGAGCTCGGACACCTGCCGCTAGTTCAGGGTGAGAGTGAAAAAAGCATCTGTGAAGAGGAAGAAGACTGCGTCACTTAAAACTCTGAAGTAGCACAGATGTTCAGTTCTGTTAAACAGCTAAACTGTTCTGATTTTGAGCTGATCTGCTGCTCATCGTGATTCATCGTGACCAGTTTTGTACAGTCGCTTCACAACATTTTCTCAGGTGTGTGTTTGCGCCTTTGGTTTTGTGCTGCAGCCACCTGGGATCTACTTCAACCAACAGGTTGAGTAGAAGTAGAAGTGAACGATTTGTGCCTATATTTTTCACTTGAGTGCAACATTTGGCCAGTGTTTAAAAAGTGAGCCAGTTGTTCTTCCTGTCAGAGAGGCTGAGCTGGTGCTCCTGGACATGCAGTCGGTGCCTGCGGGACAGGAGGGCTGGCTGGCCTTCGACGTCACCTCGGCCTCCAACCACTGGCTCCTCCACCCCCGCAGCAACCTGGGCATACGCCTCTATGTGGAGACAGAGGAAGGTGGGTGCAGCACTGAGCTACACAAGAACCATCACAGACCTCGTTTCATTGGTTGTTATGAGAAGTTTACACCAGGCCTCTTTGAAATGTTTTATTTTAATCAGTGATACAAGTTTAACACAGCACGAGACAAAGCTGAACAGCGTCACAGTTTGTCCATATCATTGTACAGTTTCTTATCTGACCCCCCTTCTCCTCCAGACCGCTCCCTGTCTGCAGGCTGGATCGGGCTGGTGGGGCGCAGGGGTCCTCGCTCCAAGCAACCCTTCATGGTGACATTCTTCAGGGAGAGCCAAGTCCCTTGTCGGCCACCGCGAGCTGTCAAGCCCCACCCCCGCAAGAAGAAACCCAAATATGACCTCCCAGTCCCCAGCATCCACAGTGAGGTTCCAGGCACCCACACTGACTCTGATGCTTTAATTCCCCCCGGTATTTGTGTCTGACAAGGTTTTAAGTTAAGATTCCTGATGAGGACATCACTCGCCTTCAGTTAAGATATTAAAGTTTTATTTTGTGGAACCCAGCCCTGCTGATGTACTCAGTGTAAAGCCTTACACTACTGAAATTCTGGTCAAACATGTGACTGTCCTGTAGAGGACTTTCAGTTTAAAAAAAAACATCTTTCACTAATGTGATTTCAGATTAAGTGGTTGGATAAATAACAGAAAACAGTGTGTTCTGACTGAAATCGTATAAAAACGATTCAGTGACTTTGCTCTCAGTGAACGTTTTTTCTCCCCTGTTCAGATCGGAGTCCCACCAACAACGTAGGCGAGCCCTGTAAGAAACACGAGCTCTATGTCAGCTTCAGTGACCTGGGCTGGAAGGTCAGCTCTGCTTAATGCTCCAATTCTTCATCACAGCCTTTTCATCCACCTCATTTACTCTACGCTTCCATTTACACAACAGATATTCCTCAAATGTGTAAAAGTTCATAAATGTCCTATGGAGCCAGATAAGTAGTAACACAAGTTGTTCACTGAGTGTGAAGAATAAGATGCATTTACTCCAACGTTAGCACGTGTCGGAGTAACGGAGTAATGTAAAGGAGGTTTCACCGACACCTGTCCCACTGTTATCAATCGGTTTCCCTTGGTCCATCATCTTTTTGTTTACTGAGTAGAGGAGTTAATAGTTTCTTCATATTAATTTGTGTTGTAACAGTAGTGTTGTCAGTTTCTTTCTTGTAAAAGTAAAACTGTTTTTAAAAATGAGTTGCATATGACTTACATCAGTGAGCAAAATGTGAGGATGTGTGTTAAGGAATAAACAGTGGGACAGGTGTGGGCGGATTTTTTGAACAGACATCCTCATACTTTGCTCAGTGATGTGTCAGTTTTAAGTCGTGGAAACTGACAATGCTGCTGCTGTTGCAACACATTTATATGAAGGAACTTTCAGTTGGATTGAGTAAATAAAAACCGTTGACTTATTGTAGATGGACTGAGGGAAACTGGTTGATTATGGTCAATCTAATTGTTTTCATTCATTTAAAGAAATCTTCACAATTTACTCTTTGTAAAAAAAAAAGTTTGTTCGAAATCTTTAATTTCTTAACTGTTGACTCTTAAGTTAACAACAGTCATATATTTAGACAAGAAAAACGGAAACTAGAGGAAAACTGAGCTGCTGCTGGTGGGTGAGGTGCAGCAGAGAAAAGTAACACAGTAAGAATTTAGTGTGACCTGGAAAAGGTGCTGATTGAATGAACTAAAATGGTCTGTAGCTGTTCTTCTGAGGGAGACCTGGCCAGGACGGCAGCATCTTGACCCAATTCTGAGTTCTGCTCAGGTAACATTAGAAGGTGTGTACTCACCTAAAACACTGACGTCTTCCCCTTAACCAACTGGAGCAGCCTTAAATTTAAGGTGGTTTAACACATTTAATACATTGCTTTTATTTAATAGCGAGAAAAGGGAAGGTTTTAGACTTTTATCCTTTGCTCACGTCCAGATTTCACTTCTAGAGTTTGATAAACATGAGCCTATGTCTTATTGGTAGTTAATTTAATTTCATGTCAGACTGCACATTGTCAGATGAGGTGACAACTTGTGCCCTGAGTAACAAACTGTGTTTCTGTCTGCTCAGGACTGGGTACTGGCTCCCACCGGATATTCAGCGTACTACTGTGATGGAGAGTGTTTTTATCCTCTGGGCTCCTGCATGAACGCCACCAACCACGCCGTCATCCAGCAAGTGGTCAGTACTACACACAGGTTGGACACTGCTGCTCCATCCCAGGGCTGAGCTTTGCCATTAGGAAGTAGATCAAACTAACACAATGCAGTATAAAGGCCTGCTGTGTCACTAAGGAGCAGCTCTGGCGCCCCCTGCTGGAAACGTTCATTATGAACAAGTTGTACTTTTTTCTTCATTTATTTAACAGCTTTAGCTACTGTTTACTTTTCAAATTAAGATTTTACATATAACATATGATGCTTTTAAAATATAACGCACTGGTACACACTAAACTAGCAGTTCCTAATCCTTTTGACATGTGGCCCCTAACAATCTGTGGAAGAAATACTCAGTGCTCATTTCAGTGAAAGTAGCGATACCAGTGTAAAAATACTGTTACAAGTAAAAGTCCTGCATTCAAAAGGTTACAAAAGAAAAAATACAAAAGTATTGGAATCAAAATATATTTAAAGTTGCAAAATTACTAATTATGCAGAATGGCACATTTCACATTAATGTATATTAAATTAGTGAACTAAAGTTATTGTGTTCTTCACTTTAATGTTGCAGCTAATATTAACTACCAAATATGCTTTTGATTTGAAGTACTTCACATCCTGCTGGGTATCTTGTGAATTTCCCACCGAGGATCAATGAAGTCTTAGGATTATTTAGTTTATTCATCGGATTCTGAAAAGCAACTCGAGTTATCAAATACTTGTAGTGCAGTAAAAAGTACTTGCCTCTGTACTGTAGTAAAGTCTGGGTATGAAGCAGCAGAAATGAAAATACTCAAGTACAAGTTGTTAGAAGTAACTTTCCCTCTAAACTTCTCAAATGGTCTAATTTAAATAAGCGTTTAAGGCCCAGACGTCAAATTATCAGATGCTTTTAAAACATATAATTATTTGCAGGAACCATTTTTCTACAGAATGAGTACTTTTGTTACTGACACTTTTAAGTGCATTTTGATGATGAAACAACTTAATTTTGACTGCAGTACATTTACTTAGTGTATGTGAAGTATTACTACATTGTCGTGTTGGTACATAAAAACTGTATTTCGCTGTGCTGGGGCAGGTCCACCTCCTGAAGCCTGACGAGGTTCCCAAGGCGTGTTGCGCCCCCACCAAGCTCAGCCCTATCTCCGTCCTCTTCTATGATGACAACAACAACGTCATCCTCAAAAGGCATCGTAACATGGTGGTTAAGACATGCGGGTGTCTATGAGACTCAGGTTCTGCAGTCACAGGTGTCCAGTGGACGGGTCAGACACAAACTCTGCAGGAACCTTAAAAGTTGGCAAACAGCTTGGATGACAAACACACCAGAAATCTAATTGAACACATCGGCCATATGATTGACGGCTGATTTACAATCAGTGCCAACTGTCTTTAATCGGTTTTAGGAGTTAAAAGTTCACTGAGGCTTTAATGCTTTTTCTTAATTACAGCATTTTCTCAGGCTTGGCTGTTTATGTTTATAATGCTGCATATTCCAGTTATGCTCAAGGTTTTTCTGCAAAACAAAGTGAAATATCGAAGTCTGTGCCTTTAAACAAACACATCAGCATCATGAAGTTAAGGTGGATATCAGAACATTTTTCTATTGTACAGTATTTCAGGTTTTTTTGTCTTAGGAACAAAGGATGTTTTATTCTGAAACTGGCAGAATGTGACATTAGGTTTATTCTTTACAAGCAGGAAATCGACAGCAATACTGTTGTTGCAACTCGGATTTATATGAAGCAACTATTCAATTGTATCCAAATAAAATATTTAATATTATTTTGACTGATGGTAGATGGACTGAGGGAAATGTAGAGTCGTGGAAATGGTCAAATCAAATTTTTATTCTAAATCATCCTCTTTCCCAGTTGAAGTATATCTTTTTTTAAATGTCAGATTAGGAATAATCTTCATGAAGAGTACATTTACTTCAAACTTACTACAAATAGGTCTGTTAGTCTAATTGTGATGTAATCAATAACCAGAGGAGAAGACCAGTCACATTAAATAAACTGTTCAATTTATTGAAAAGGGTTAAAAAAAAAAGTACAGTGAAAGCAAATTAGTGATGAGGGAGTTACCATTTAGGCTGTTACTAAAATCTTTAATTAAAACTTCATCAGAGAACAAACTTGCTGCACCCATCGACGAGCGCAGGGCTTTGTGTTTGTGTAAGAATCTGGATAAAACCAATCAGTTGCTGTCTGATCTGACTTGAGGTATTGTTGTAAGGCGTGGAGCAACAGCACTGACAATCTTTCAAAACAGGAACTAATATTCTGCATGTTAACAGACACAAAGAGGATTTGTCTTTTCAGTGGGTTAGTGGTTGAATCACTGTGTTCCCTCTGTTCAAGTGAGAAGACGTGAAGGTGGGTGTAGTCTCAGCAGAGCCGCGTCCATGTGGAGGCGATGAAACCACTGAATGTGCCGTCAAGTCCTCTGGATGACGGCCAGCTGTTGCAGGATAAGGTCGCTCATTTTCTACATTAGCAGTATTTTAAACCTTCCCCATACAGAAACTAAAACTAACAAAGAGTTGCCTCAACTCACAGTTAGTTGACACCCATCTGTCAGTGCTGGGTGAGCCTATTCGTCTGTGCCACAGGCCTCCACTGACAGTTACAACAACTGAAAACACTGCTGCACTTAGACATATTCCTCATTATGAAACAAGACCCTGATATTTAAGACTATCCAGAGATCTTGTGCAAGGCCCCTAGACTCTTGCTTACTTCAGATGTTGTGAAAAGTTATATCAAGGTCTTGTTATGTAATGAGGAAAATGTCTAAGTGCAGCAGTGTGTTTCCCTGATGTGTTTTCAATCATTGCTGAAGAACAATGGGGGTCTATGGCACAGATGAATAAACTAATCCAGGACTGACGGACAGTGACTGTTGATTTTAGTCTCTGTGGGGAGAAGGGCTGGCCAAACCCGGCCCCTGCTTGTTTTCCAACTATCCCTGCCCTACCCACAGTGGATTACCTGGATCGGGTGTGTTCAGTCAGCCAGAAGCTGAAAGATACCATCTTAGATGAAGGTGGAGTGAGGAAAGATGAAGTGAATTGGTATCCTCCAGCTTCTGACTGACGCTGAACACACCTGATCCAGGTAAGAAGAAGTGTGTAGGGCAGCCCTTGGACACTGGGATGTAGTATTTAAAATACTGTTACTACAGAAAATTACCTGCCACAACTTCAAAAACACTTTAGGTTTTACTTCCTATTGTAGTTTCTCTAGACATTGTAATTCATTAGCCGCAACACTTTAGTGGTCCTGCTGCTTTCGGGGTCAGGTAGCTGTATACAATAAATACAAGACATGGCTGCTGGTGGACTACTGCATTATAGTTCTCTCTTACACAACAAACAGGTACACAGCACGTACACCCACCCCCCTCCCTCCATCCCAACCCGTTGTCCATGAATACTGACAGGCCCCAGAGTTCATCAGCAACAACCTCCAGGCTCCGTGGTCCAGCGTTTAGTCCGTGGTCGTCGTGCATCTGTAAGCAAAAGTTTGAGTTTGTTAGACAACAAATAGCGACCAACTGATTTTCCAAAAACCCTTTTATAACCAGCTGCTTCTGATTGCAGTGTTTCCTCTACCATTATATCAGGGGGGGGGGCACCCTGCCCCCCTTGAAGGTCAAGTAAATTTTATTTTCTATATAGTGTCAGATCACACCAGAAGTCATTTAAGGTTACCTTTCCTGTAGAACAGGTCTATACCTTGTTCTCCTTTGCTTTCTGTATGCCACACAGGGGAGTTCTGCCCTGCTGCAATGACATGCTGTCGTGTAAATAAGATAAGGCTATTTAGTTTAATAAAAGACCAAGGTATAGATAGACCCGTTCTAGAGGAAAGGTAACCTTAAATGACTTCTGTTGTGATCTAGCACTACACAGAAAATAAAATAGAAAATAATCCCCCTTAGCAGGAGATAGATGCCTTGCATCAAGCAAGGTGGTGTATGCAATTAAGGGCAGCCAGGAGTGTAGTGAGTTGTACATTCACCAATGTACACGTGTGGGTTCAAAGACAAGTAACGACTCTCACCGATACCAGACCCTAATGACTCGGTCGTTAGAGGACATTGTTGGCTATCGAAGGACTGAAACACCACACAGGGGGATAAATACCTCCTGCTCACCACCAGTTGGACAGAACTGATAAAACCTCTTGGATGAGAGGTCAAAGGTCTTCTACCTAAAACTATGCCCAGATGATTTCTTCTACTTTTTTTCAGCAGGTAGGTAGGTAGGTAGTTTATTGGTAATTAAACTACCAAACTAACACGAGTTGGTAGTTTGTTTGTTGGTAATGTCACCTTGGGGGTTTGTGTGAATGTTGGTCCTATGAAGTTTATCTCTGCCAAAACATGTGAGAGTGCACAAACCTCAGTTTGCAAATCGGCAATTGAAAGCACATAGTCAGATCTGTAAGTGTAATCTCAGTCATGTGTGCGCTTGTTTCTCAGTCTGCAAGTAGAGTAATGCTCTAAATGTGGTTTGTACTCCCTCAAATGGGATTTACTTTCACAAGTAGGGCTGATAACCACCGCACTATACACCGGCTGTATAGGGACACATTTCAAACTTTTACTGGTCTCCGTTTCTCACATACACTACTGGTTAAAGACCAGCTTAGCAAGGAAAAGGGGCACACAGTGGACACTGACCATGCCCTGACAGAGAATCAAACCCCAATCTGCCATACCAAAGCCAGTGGTGTTAACCACTTAGCTATCCTCTCACTGTACAGGGACACATTTAGAACATTTACTGGTTAATGCAGCTTAGCAAAGAAAAGGGGGTGTTTGGTTTGGTCGAAGGCAACTCCCTGCTAAAGGCCCACACTGATACTGTGCCCTGCCAAAGAATCAAACCCATTTGAGTGCACAAATCAGATTTTGAGAATCTAAAGAGCACTAGAGACAGACTTACCCTGGTTCAGGTCCAGTCAGCAGTCCTTTATGCCTGAACGTCTGCCAGCTCCGGAGGCATGGGGGATTTGGGGTGTTTGCTCTCAAAGTGCTGCTTGAAAGTCTTGGGGTCAGGCATCTGTGTCTGAAATACAAAGGAGAATTGATGTATGAGATTCAAGATTTTATTTGCCATTTATGCATAAACAGTCTAGGCATATAGGAATTCTTGTGCAGCTCTCCTTTGGCTTTTGACTCCTTACCTGATTCCAGAGAGAACACTTTGTCGCCCTTATGTAACTTTTTATTTTAAGACTAAGTATTAAAACACAATACACAAGTCTATTGTGTCTTCTGAAAACACAATCTTCAACAGCCACACTGAGCAACACGTGGGATGCAACTTTACAAAAACAGATCTAATTCATTTTGCAGATCTGACATCTCTGTATAACACAGCAGCACAAACTACAGCCTCCATAATGTTCACACAGGTGAAACAACACCCGATAACAGTTCGAATACACACTGAACATTTTCGCCTTCATGAAGGAGGATTTACTGCAGGACTGTTGGATTAGACTCACTTACCTAAAACACTGAGTGTACCTCACATTACTGAGCAACACAACCAAGGTGAACCAGCCTACACAATCCTGAGTCAACAGACCTGGAAAAAGCAATCTACAGGAGCAACGGCAAGTCTTTAAATATCCATCTACCAGCCAACATCTTGAAGTAAGAACTTGTGGCATGTTTGATAGCGAGTGCTCAGCCTGCCACCGCTGTGATACTGTAACCTGTAGCAGTGCAACAACCAGTTCACCTTCAGGTAAAAACACTAAGGTGCTTTGTAAAACATGAGCTGCAGCACAGTCACCAGCAGGGAGCAAACACAGGCCAAAGAAACTATGGGTGAGGACAGGGTCAATGAAAGTCACAAACTTCAACACTTTAGATCAACATAATGCCCATGGTTTGATAGTTCATTACTGAAGCTTCCACCAGTCTAGCCGTCTGATAAGTGGTTGATAATCACACCTGTGGTCAACACGATTAGAAGCTGCTACATAATTAAGTTATATCTTTTGTTGCACAAAACAAACTGCTGTTTTACTGCACAGAGTGATATACAAAGGTACAGATGGCCTCACTTCTCACCAAAGAAAGTACTTTAAAAGATTTGACAAGCACATTCAGAACTGAAATTTCAGTGCAATAAAACACTGCCACAGCCCTGGTGTAGAAAACCTGTCTGATTGATGTAGAGCTGGTGTTCACATCCTGTACTCACCCGGCACACGGGGCACGTGTGGACCAGAGCAGCCTTAGCTGCAGTCTTCTGGTCAGCGCCCTGAGATTTCTTCTTCTCTGCTGCCTTCTTGGCATTCTTCTGCTGGGACTGAATCTTCTGCTGCCCACGAGCCATGGCCCTCAGCTTCGACCTGCAATAATAAACAAGACAAGTGGTTATCTATTTTTTCTACGTTCACAGCCCCAGTCTAATGTTTCCTTGCAAAACTAATGCAGGAATCTAAATATGTGTTACTTTTACCTGCAACAGACAAGTCTGTCAATAATATGATGGGGCCATGAACCATGAGCCTCTCCCTCATTTCCTGTCACCTCTCTACTGTTGTAAAAGGCTTAAAATGCCCCAAACTAAATGTGATTGGCTTCCTGTGATGTTAATATGATACAACAGCCACAATCTCACACAAAATATGACCTAAGTGTATATATACATCTTGCAGAGTGGAGGCTGTTGTACAGGAGCAGACTAATGCCCATGTTTTAGGGATGAGATACTGAAATAGCACATAATATAATGTCCATATAGTGTAGACTTTCTGCTTCAACACATGACAAAGAAAAGCATCAAATTCTCTCATTTTGAAAAGTTAAAGAATGAAATTACTTCACAAAATGGCTGAAGCAATTGTTTTATTATCAACATAATTCAGACTGAAAACGACCTGTACAATTTGATATGACTTCCTCTACTTTCGGCTGTTCCTGTTAGGGGTTGCCACAGCGAATCATCTGTTTCCACCTAACTCTATCCTCGGCATCTTAACTTCATGTCCTCTTTTAGCACATCCATATATCTCCTCTTTGGCCTTCCTCTTGACCTCTTGCCTGGCAGCTCCATCTCCAACATCCTTCTACCAATATAACCACTATCCCTCCTCTGCACATGTCCAAACCATCTCCATGTCATCCGCAAACATCATTGTCCAGGAAGATTCCTGTCTGACCTCATCTGTCAACCTGTCCATCACCATAGCAAACAAGAGGGCACTCAAAGCTAATCCTTGATGTAGCCCCACCTCCACCTTGAACTCCTCTGTCTGACCTACAGCACATCTCACTGCTGTCGTACTCCTCTCATACATGTCCTGAACTACTCTGACGTACTTCTCTGTCACTCCTGACATCCTCATACAGTACCATAGCTCCTTTCTCGGCACTCTGTCGTACACTTTCTCTAAATCCACAAAGAGACAATGCAGCTTCTTCTGACCATCTCTATACTTCTCCATTAACATTCTCAGAGCAAAAATGGCATCAGCAGTGCTCTTTCTGGTCATGAAGCCGTACTGCTGCTCACAGATATCCACTTCTACAGTTTGATAGGACTACCTGCTTCAAATGAAAGCTACAAACTAAATATCAGCAGTGATAGCATGGGTTAAGATTTATTTACCAATTGCTTTACTTAACCAACATTTATACCACAATTTACCAGCTGTGTACAACACTAGAGTCATGGCCAAAAGTTTTGAGAATGACAAAGTCACAAAGTCTGCTGCCTCAGTCATTATGATGCAATTTGCATATAATCCAGTGTTATGAAGAGTGATCAGATGAATTGCAATTAATTGCAAAGTCCTTCTCTCCCATGAAAATGAACTTAATCCCCCCAAAAAAACAATTTCCACAGCATTTTAATACTGCCACAAAAGGACCAGCTGACATCTTGTCAGTGATTCTCTTGTTAACATAGGTGAGAGTGTTGATGAGGACAAGGCTAGAGATCACTCTGTCATGCTGACTGAGTTAGAATAACAGACTGGAAGCTTTAAAGGGAGGGATGGCGCTTGAAATCATTGTCCTTCCTCTGTTAACCATGGTTACCTGAAAGGAAACATGTGCATCCATCATTTCTTTGCACAAAAAGGGATTCACAGGCAAAGGTTATCGCTGATAGAAAGATTGCACCTAAATCAAGTGTTTATTGGAGCATCAAGAAGTTCAAGGAAAGAGGTTCAATTGTGGTGAAGAAGGCTTCAGGGTGCCCAAGAAAGTCCAGCAAGCACCAGGACCATCTCAAAGTTGATTCAGCTGCGGAATCAGGGCACCAGCAGTGCAGAGCTTGCTCAGGAATGGCAGCAGGCAGGTGTGAGTGCATCTGCATGCTCAGTGAGGCGAAGACTTTTGGAGGATGGACTGGTGTCAAGAAGGGCAGCAGAGAAGTCACTTATTTCCAGGAAAAACATCAGGGACAGACTGATATTCTGCAAAAGGTACAGGGATTGGACTGCTGAGGACTGGGGTAAAGTCATTTTCTCTGATGAATCCCCTTTCTGATTGTTTGGGGCATCCAGAAAAAAAGCTTGTCCGGAGAAGAAAAGGTGAGCATCACCATCAGTCAGTGTGTCATGCCAACAGTAACGCAACCTGAGACCATTCATGTGTTGGGTTGCTTCTCTGCCAAGGGAGTGGGTTAACTCACAATTTTGCCAAGAACACAGCCACGAATAAAGAATGGTACAAAAACATCCTCCAAACACAACTTCTCCCAAACACCCAAGAGCAGTTTGGTGACAAACAATGCCTTTTCCAACATGATTGAGCACCTGAAAGAGTGGTAACTAAGTGGCTTTGGGAACAAAACATTGAAATTTTGGGTCCATGGCCAGGAAACTCTCCAGACCTTAATCCAGTTGAGAACTTGTGGTCAATCCTCAAGAGGTGGGTGGACAAACAAAAACCCACAAATTCTGACAAACTCCAAGCATTGATTATGCAAGAATGAGCTGCCATCAGTCAGGATGTGGCCCAGAAGTTGATTGACAGCCTGGCAGGGCAAACTGCAAAGGTCTTGAAAAAGAAGGGTCAACACTGCAAATATGGACTCTGCATAAACTTAATGTAATTGTCAATAAAAGCCTTTGTCACTTAAGAAATGCTTGTAATTCTACTTCAGTATACCATAGTAACATCTGACAAAAAGATCTAAAAACATTAATATTTGTCATCCTCAAAACTTTAGGCCACGGCTGTAATACCCAATATCGATCAATCATTAAACACGGACATGGATAAAGAGGAAATAAGGGCTGGGTAGATTAAGGCTAAACAATATAAAAACAATTTAACCATTACTTATGTTAGAGTTTTGGTTCTTGTTACCATTGCTAACTCTGAGAGACGAGACAGTCCAAGTAACTGCAAAACAGTGCTGATTTATTCAAAGGATCACAGGTAAAATTAACATTACACGCTCAGGTATCTTGCACCTCCAACCTGCACGCAGGCAGATGTAAGATGAAAGACCCTGAACCCACCAGGCCTATACATTATATCCCTTCAGTTGGGCTAGCCCCATACTACACAGAAACGTCAACCAAGACGTCTCTGTTACCAGCTTTGCAGCTGGTCATAGCAGTAGTCAAAACATGAAGCAAATCAATGTGTGTGTCTGTTGATTAAGTGGTGTGTAACTAAAAACATTCTCACAGACTTCTAGTAACATGTCGTGATATTAAACATAAGAACATATTATGGCTAAGGCTACAGTTATACACATCATAATAATAATATTAAACACCCTGTCTGCTGACAGTCATCAACTCTTCTCTCTAGTTATCCTTGACCAGATGTACCCTGTAGAAACTCATAAGCATGCCTAAGCATTTAACAGTCTAACTAGACATCCTATCTCCACTAAACATTTCTAATACATAAAGTATCTATCCAATTTCTATCTGACTAAAAATATCTAACACTTATCAATTTTCATATCAGCATTCTATCAAAAGTGCTATAATTTTTCCATCCACCTTCAGCCAAAATCTCATACAACACATTTTATACTTTTATTAGATTCGAAAAAATAGAAATTTGTAAACTAGTCGATATTTCAAGAGTATTTTTTTACATGCAGAATATCTTCTATAAATTGTTGATCATACTAATCGACATCACAAATCTCAAGTTATTTCTCAGCAGATTCAGATTAAAAACAACCAGTTTAGTAAAATCATAAACCAAACCGAGTTTCACCAACCGGAGCCGTCTTGCTAACATTGTCACCTTAGCTAGCAAGGGAAGCTAAGATTACACGCAACTCCGAAATTCTACACGATATATAGTTGTTGGAGTACAAACAACACTGTTTCTGATACACACCACTGTTATCTAACAGCAAATAAATCTGCAACTGTTAATAATAGAACATATTTACGTTTTAAAGCCAATTTACCTTAGACGTTCGCCTCTCTCTTCGCTCCTTTTGTCGTTTACTTTTTTTTTGAAGGCCAGAGGAAAATTCAAAGAAGGATTTAAACCGTAACTTCCGTTTTAAAACCTCAAAATGAGATGACCAGCGCCGCCCGCAGGACTGGGAAATATTACAGCTGCTTTTCACTCCACTACATTTCTCTGGCAGATAGTTAGGCTTACTAGTTACCTGACTTTAAAAGGCACTGTGGTGCCCAGCCACTTTATGCTTCTGATCGCTTAAGATTTCTATGACTTGCTAGTGTTATGGTTTCATTTTAAATAACTGCTCTAGGCCAAGACAAATATCTCACAATATGACAAAAACATCTGGTGACCCTTAGGGTGGGCCTTGTCCACTGGTTGGGAAACACTGAGCTTGCACACTGTCTCATCCCTAAATGTGTGTCATGGACTCATCTTTCAACATGCTAAGATGGAAATACTCAAGTATAAGTACTTGAAAATTGTGCACAAGTACTTGAATAAATGTATTTAAAAGGAATGATGTCAGCTTTCTTACCTGGTCTCTGGTCTGAGCAGCGATATGTGTATAATCAGATATTTTCAGCTGCAAACTTAATTCTGAGCACCAGGTCAGCAGATCACTGACATTTCCAATTGCACTTTAAAATGACACACAAACCTAATCAGTCACACTTTATTCAAGGATACAGTACATCGTTTATGTAATGGAAAGCTGAGCGATTCAGACTTAGTGATCTATTAGGTCAAATGGTGTGAAAGCAAATCACAGCTGACACGAGGTCATTGCATTATTACAGAAATTAAACACTAATCCATCCAAGATCAGCTTGTTTTGTTGCACATTTAACCACCTGTCATGTCAGTGTTACTGCACCATGACCAAAAACTGACCATGTCAGCAGCACTGGACTGAAAAACAGATGCAGTGAACTCCCTCAGTTTCTCAAAGTAGGTCATATTAATACACAACTGACTTTTTAGAAAAGTTAAAAACCAAACACACACACTTTGTTATACTCACTAAGACATACAGTAACCTAAAGCTGAAACCATTAGTTAGTTAATTGAGAGAAGATTAACAGTCATCAACATGTTCTGGTTCTACCTTCTTTAATATGAGAAGCTGATGCTTTTCTTTGTCAGACATGAGAATCAACCGAATACCTTTGGATCTGTTGGTTGGACACAACAAGACACTTAATGACACCACTTCTGACTCTGGAAAGTCACAGTGGGCATTTTTCACACTGTCTGCAAAAAAAGAGATAAAATAATCAACAGCTTAATCAGTGCGATAGATCTGGCCAAAGTGGCAGAAAAATCTTTTACTCACCTCTATTCCTCCTATACAGTTTTATTGATTGTCTGCTAGTGTTTTTATTTTATTGTAATGGAAACCTCATTTGAAATCAATTTTTATTTTAACCTCATATTTGTAAAAGGTGTAGATAGTGTGTAGTTGTTTACATTATGTCTTAGCTTTTATCTATTGCACTGGTTGTTTACATTGCACTTTTTTTGGTACCGACTCAGAGAGAACAAATTCCTGTGTACCTGTACTGCCTGTACTCGTGCAAATGGAAAATAAATGTCTTGAATCTTTGCACTTGTTCCCACCTGCCTCTGATTTCTTTTTGTGAAAGTCTGCATTCATCCCAGGAGGACTGGAGCTGACCTGTAGCGTCCAAGGCATCCAGGATTTACCTAGATGAACAGTTTAACTTTAGATTGTTAATAGTGATGCATCGTTGTGTGTATGTAGCCTTTTACCATTGCAGCTGCTCAATTTAGAGCTGGTTGTAACTACTTTATAGCCAGAGTAATGGTTCCCAAGCTGGGGGTCTGTCCTATACAAAGATACCATATAGATCTTAGAAAATTAATGAAAGTTAAAAAAAAAGAGAGAGAGAAAAAGCCAATATGGGACTTTTGCTTGTTTATCTTTTTTTAAGGGTTCCAATTTGAACCAGTGTAATGAAACCATTGGAGATGTTTAAAGCGATGCACCCTGCCTTCCTTACTTTACTGTTAGTTATTTAGGATAATCCACCAGACTTGTAATGATGTACAGTGTGGCACTGCACATTGTATTTTGTTTTTGTTGTACAGATTGTTTTAAGTTTAAAGCCTCAACAGGTTCAAAGTCTTAAGTCAAACCTCTTGTCTGAGTGTCTGCTGTATGTGGAATACTGGGTGTTTATATGCAGAAACAACAAGGAAATGCATAAAATAATTAATCAAAAATTGCCTTATTTCCATTGTTCATTTTTTATTGATCATAATTATCAATTATGCTTGACATCTCTGACCACACAAACGGCATTATATTATAAGGATACTTCATCCTTTCAAGCAGACAGATGCACTCAGTATTAGAGTTTATGGCAGGTGACACTTTTAGAATAAACACACTGGTTGTAATGAAATGCATTATACTCAGAGGTGTTCCTAATATTAGGACCCTCTTACATACCTGGCCTGGGAGGACAAAAATATAGAGACAGCTCTGAATATAATGTAGTCCACTACAACACAACCTTTATCACTTTAATAATAAACATAAGTGAATTTACACATTTATTTAAACACAGAATTTAAAGTGGAAGTGTTGCATTGAAGCGCATACAGTTGTACCTAATAAAGTGGCCAGTGAGTGTACATCATGTAGGCATCATCTAAAAAATGTTTAGTTCACACCAAGATTTTGAAATTAATGCTAAAAGTTCATGTCACTTATTTACTACAAAAGCATTTGGCCTTAATGTTACAGTTCTGTTATTTCTGACTGGATCCTGTTTTCCTGTAACATTCAAACTAGTATGTTAAAGTTGGTTCTTTTTATTCACACTCAAAATGCTTCATGGCATAAAACCAAAATGAAGTTTTGACAGAACTGCAAAAAAAAAAAAAAAAAATTGATTGTTAAAACAAAAGAGAATAAAAACATGGCTTGACATTAGATGAAAAGCTTTGTTTTGTAATATCGAGCACAGAATAATTGTGTTTTATATGCTCTACAAAGGTCACAAACTTGTGGTCATGTGCTGCCTATAAAGACCGCACACAGACAAAAGACACATTTGTTCCATGTATCTTAAGTTGGTCCATGTGGTCGTGTTCCACAGACAAATGGACTCTGCTCTTCACAGTAATTACCAACCCATTGACCGTCATCTAACAAAGAGACAAGAGGAAAGCAATTTTTCAAATTAGCATTTTAGAAATAAGCTTACTTTATGTGATTAGTTCTGGGTATATTGTTTTCTGTAAAGATTCAGTTCATCTTCAAATAAGCAAGTTGTTAAAACAAACAAACAAACAAACATGCCATTACTGTACCTATAGAGATCATTGCAGTGCAGTGTTCCCACTGGTCATAGTAAATCCAGTTGGTGTAATAAAAGACAGAGCCGTCACTCCAAAACCACTTACCAGGCTGTTAAAAACATAACACATAACTGTATAATATGGTATAAAATTACATATGTCAAACATTTGAAAGAAACTATAAAAATGAACACTATATTGTAAAGATCTATTTAGCAAAACAAATACATTTCATAGATGTGATCAGAATGAAAAATGAGGAATCTTTGCACATTACCATAATAGCATCAGAGCCCCCAATCCATACTGGGTCATATATATCTTCTTCTAATATAATGTACTGGATGAATTCATTCTCCCCTGGGTTGTGAATTGAGGCGAGGTTGGCACCAAAATACAAACAAGCAGTCTGTAAAACAGGTGATGAACAGCTCGTCATGCAGACACACACATTTTGGCCTCAACATTTTATGACTTTCTGAATTCAAGTGTTTCAGTAGATGCAGTTCATCGCACTGTGAATTCAACAACCCCTTTGTGTGACCCAGAGCAGTGTCACGCTGTTCAGTACCTCTGCCTCTGTCCAGTTCATCGGTGTGGGGAAAGCACAGAAGCACCTGGATCCATATGTGTACCAGCCAGGCAGACAACTGTCATGTCTCAAATACCTGTCATCTAACATCATGCCTCTTGTCTGCAATGATGGCCAAGGCGTTTCCTTGGCCATCGCTGATGGCCGTGGCCTTTCCTTGGCCATCGCTGATGGCCGTGGCCTTTCCTTGGCCATCGTTTCTGCCCTACGGATCCAAGGGTTCACTGGTCTCCCCTCTGAAATTAAAAACATTCATCCATCCATTATTTATACCACTTAATCTCGAATAGGGTTAAGGGGGGCTGGAGCCAATCCCAGCTGACAATGGGCAAGTGGCGGGGTCCACCCTGGACAGGTAGCCAGTCTATCACAGGGCTGACATTTAGACAAACATCGACACACACTCACTCCTACGGGCAATTTAGAGTCACCAGTCAACCTAAGCTGCATGTCTTTGGGAGGAAGCTGGAGCACCCAGAGAGAGCATGCAGACTCCGCACAGAAAGGCCCTGGGTTGGCCGGGGCTCAAACCTGGGACCTTCATGTTGTGAGACAGCGCTAACCACCATCCTGCTGTACCGCCCAACACTTCATTCATATTCCAAAATAATTCCCCATTTTATTGCATTCTCCATGGATGTTGGACATATTAAACACTTTGCACATCCCCACACAGTGGCGCTTGGTACAGTCCAAAAACATGTTTTCAATCTGAATGATTAAAGACAGGACAAACGGTCTGAGGATTTTGTCTCCCCTGCAATTTATTTTCTTTTACCTTTAGTGTTGTTCTGCTGGACGTCCAGTTTCTCCTTCACTGGCTCTGCAGCTGAATAAAAATAAGCTTCCAGTTAACACTGAGCTCTCTGCCATCATAGCAACAGTTACAGTATTAGTCTTTCAGGACAGTTGGAAGCAACACCATTCTATAAAAACACTGTGCTTCATGGATTATATGAAGTTCTGTATCTAGGTTTGAAAACCTGACCTCTAATTGTTCAGGTTTGGCCTCAGATCATTATTTTGACTTTTGTGTTCAGTGTATTAATGAGTCTCACCTGTTGCAACTTTGAGAGCAAAGACAGCACAGAGAAATAAAACAGTCCTCATTGTTTGCCTCAATAAGATGGACCAACGCAGAGAAAATCTACAAATCAGAAAATCGCAGAAAGTAAGAATCAGTGAAATGACTTCAGCTCCTGGTAAAAGCAGCAGGCTGGTGAAGACGCCCATAACACCTAATGAAAAGCATACAAACCATATATAGTCATTTCAGTTTCACCTGTTTCAGTAGAGTTTAATCTCAGCTGACCTTCTGAAAGTCTGGAATAGAGTATTTATATAATGGAACCAAGAAAACACATGAATTTAAAATAAATGATTAATGACTCAGTGACTCATTTAACATTAATCACTAAACAAGGGCAAAGATGAGTTTTACTCAGACTGTGGTTTCATCAAAACATTCTTCTTCAATTATGTGGTGGGAAATTAACACAGGCTCATGATCATGGCTGTCTTCACAGACATATACAACAACCAATGCCTTTGTCTGGTTTCCTAAGTATTCTCCTTATTTGTGGCTTTGAAAAAGCTAAGAGCAAATAGAAAAGTAGTTTTACTGTAGTGTGAAGTTTTGCTCTGAGGCAGGTGTCTCAAACCTCTTCAACATAAGGGCCAATGAAAAATAATAAACTGTCAATCAATCAAAAGAAAGGTTTTGAGAGTGATGTCAGTAGTCCAGAGGACTGTAGGTCCTGATAACGGGTGGTGGTGACCCAGGGATGTGCAGACCGTGAACCACACTCCACTGTCCTAAATGTATGAAAACATTTTTTGGTTCATGTTGCAGTTTTGATGCGGTTTGTTTTGATGAAGCTGCAATTTAAAAGGAAGTTTTCATGTGATATGCAACATAAATCCTAAATACTGGGGACAGTGGGGTTCACTTTGCCAAAAAAAGCAAATCAAAGACAGCTTAATATGTCGATTATGCTCCTTATGATCTAATTGATCTTTTTATTCACAGGATGTTAAACATTGGAAAAATGCCCATTTCGACTTTCCAGAGTCAAATGTCTTCAAATGTCTTGTGTCCAACCAACAAATCCATCAGTGACCTGACTAGTGGTTGCAGCTCTAGGCTACTGAACGGCTTAATGAGGATGACAAAGTGCGTCGGACATGCACTTTGTCATCCTCAAAATGTAAAATTTACCCAAGATATCCAAGGTCCCTGATGGATGACTTCTAGCAACTCTGGAGACACTTTCATTTATCAGATGCATGTACATCCTGTACAGAATTGCCACCACATATACAACCGTCAAGTAGACATAACCAATATATTATAAAAGACTAGAGAGATCAATATTTACAGTCACATACCAAGTCAAATCTGGCCAAAGTAAATGAAGGTGGACAGATTTTAGTCAGGAGTCAGAAACTAAACCTGAATCCAGTTCTCAACCTCTGAACAGGAACTGACTGTTAAAGTAGTGACACAGTTGAAACAATTCACGCAAAGAAAACACGGTTTCATCACTTTATTACAGTAAATGAGTCCATATCATACACACACAGAACAGAGACAGACAGGTGTGTTTCTCTCTCTCTCTCTCTCTCTCCTTCTGTCCCTCCATCACCCAACATCAGTCCACCAGGACTGAGCGGGACCAAAGTCACTGGAGTGGACATTATGGACACATCATTTTGAAATGCACTGACCGGAGGAGCTCATGTTAACACACAACAGAGTTTTCAGAATTTAAAAACAAACTGAAGTGCAGCTTCTGAAACTGTGGTAAGTTGCAGCAACACACAAACACATTTGTACAGCCATAATTGTGAGGACGTGTTGACAACGTATTCCTTAGACCTGCACCAGAATCTCCACATTACACCTAAATGAGTGAGCCAAACTCTTGATCTAACACGAGACAAATCTTGACCCTTAATTAGTGTTGCCGTGTGTGTGATTTTGGCTGAATGAACCGTGTACAATTTGTATATACATGTCATTTGTTGACAAAGCTCCTCACACAACAGGTCATAATCCCTCAAACAGCCCTTTGAGGGGGCGTGAGAAAGTGAGGACCAAAATGTCCCGACTCCCACGGTATTAAAATCAAACTGGTCCTCACAATATAAATCCACACACACACACACACACACACACACACACACACACACAGGTAGCTCTGTGTGCAGTCACAACACGTCTATTTCTGCCACCTTGTGATCATCAGCACCAGCTCTGAATGCCACGTTAACACAACATGCCATATTCAGTCCAACAGGATGTCATTATGTGATTTCTAGTCCAACTAAACACTTGTGAGGTCAGTCACGCCAGGACCTGCAGCTACATCTTTTCCCTCAATAATGCACAGTAATCACATACTGCACTCTGTCGCAACACACACACACACACACACACACACAGAGTTCTGTTCCAACATGCAGCCATCAGCTGTGTGGGAAACACACAAACCTGCAGCTCCTGACCTGTGTTCGTGTTTCAGCAGAGCTTGTCTGAACTATGCAGATGTGCATCATGTCAGTGTCTGCCACCTACAGCGGAGGAAGATAATGGTCTGTGTAATTATGCCACTTGCACGACCTACAGGCAGTGAGTTCTACAACTGCGGCTTTTATTGTGTTTTTGAGCTTTAACGTGGCTGTGACTGGTATTTTAATATGCATTTAAAATGTATCGACAATGGGAATGGTGTGGCTCACAGTGACGGACCTACAGGGAGTTAGGGTGTGAAAACCCGAACCAAGCCCGTCAGGTCACGCTGGGTCCCATCAGGCATGGGCGGGGTTCAAACATACAGGTAGGCCAAAACTTAGGCTAGATGGCATTCAAATGTCTCCTCTATTTAATGAGAATGGGAAAAACACTGTACAAATGAATCCTCTGATAATACGTTTAATGTACATTTAATACATAGTTGTTAATATCCATGCACTTTAATGTACAGCCTTTCTAACTCTCCACCCAACTCACACTGATGTACATCATATATCTATTTTTTTATAGTTATTTTCTTATAGTTTGTTTAGGTTTGTAGATATTTGAACCTTATTCCTTGCCTACATCTCGTTTGTCATTTGTGACATGGCTGTTATAACATCACAACTTCCCTTTGGGATGAAAAAAGATTTCCATCTATAAACCAGCAAAAGGCACGAAGACACAGAAACCAACAGTGAACACAGTGGAGCATTTAGCAGCTAAACAAATATTTCTCCCAGGAGGTGACAGAACAAGAAGCAGAAACAAAGACTCCAAATGCACAGTGGTACGATGGTGAGATATGTGACAGTGGACAGACAGCGCCCCCGTGTGGAGAAGCATGTTCAATCTAAGTTTGAATTCTGAATCAATTAGAAGCCACTTCTATTAAGGAACTTTAACAAACTAAAAAAAAACCCTCTTATCCATTAAGTAAAAAAAAAAAAAAAAAGAATAAACATTTTGCATTAATAACAGCATACATTTCTGCCACGGCACTAAGTTTTAGGTGACCATATTTACCCCAGAGTGGACAGATGGAGCATTTTGGAACAGAACCTTCACAGTATTCAGCAGTCAGGTAGTCTCACAGAGAGCTGTGTAACAATGACGTCAACAGCTAACTGATAATTTTTCACTGGACGACAAGAAAGAGAAAGAGAGAAAAATTATCAACAAACAATAAGTAGGCTGATGTTTTGTCTTTTTTTCTTTTGCAATATTCACATTTTGGACTGTGAAAAAACAAAACCTATTTACAAAAATGCACAAACTAAAGACTGCTTCAAAGGCAGAATGAGGGAAATAAGATATAAACAACTCTGTAATAAAAAGTAAAAAGAGGAAAATAAAAACCGGTGATATTTACATGTGTGATAAGAGACACTGAGGAAATAAAGGCTTCAAGACCAGGGAAGAGAAAGATCTGTCATTTTCATAGCCACAGAGGGTCTGACACACCCTGCGGAGTTAATCGAAGAAGCTGGTTGGACTCTTTACAGGAAAGAAAGCAGAACAGGCGCGGTGGTAACCCACCGGACTAGTAAGAACCAGAACGAAAGATGCTCCCCACTCTCCTCATATAAAACTAAGGTGAATGTGTGGAGGGAGTAAAAAAAAAAAAAAGGGCAGGTGAGGGGCTCTTCATTTAGCCTAAAAGAGGTTCAAATCAAACATGGAAACAGTTGGAAACAGCAGGTGGAGGCATGGTACAGTAGTATCAAATATACTATACTACAAACTTTTCAAGTAGTCTGTACTGCTTACTAAAGGTCTGTGTAGTTGACTGCTCTAATCCTAAAACACTGGCTGTTCAGACTGCAGTTTGGGTCATGGGCTCTCTCTCTCTCTCACACACACACACACACATTTATATTTCTATACATTCTCTGGGCCCCAAACCTTATTTCTCAACCTTTCCCACTGAAGAAGCGAGGACCCACTGAATGTCCTCGATCTTATGGGGGTAAATCGGGCCTCAGGCAGTAGACCAGCGCACACACACACACACACACACACACACACATTCACCTTAAAGGAATTTCCTTGCTTGATATTCAACTAATATTCACGTTTATCCTTTCATTCATGAATCTGTACATGTCAGCAGCAGTGATGTCCATTTATCCTCCAGGGTATTATTGTTTCCACTGACAGACCCAGTCGGCTAAAGAAGCTGCAACACCGTTTCAAAGCATCACTTCATCTGCAGCAGACCTCCACCTCTCATACGTTTACATTAAGTATCCCCGCTGCATTTAATCAACACGAGGACAACACTTATTTTGCTTGTTTCCACAAAAAGCTTTTTTTTTTTTTTTTACCCACACTAACACCAGAGCAGGAAGGACTGTTGTGTTTAAAGGGGAATCCCACCAAAAGTGACTTTCTGCTTAGATGGTATCTGCTTCTAATCTGCCAGAGAAACACCATTTTAAACAGATTAAGACTAAAACAAGGAAGCTGTTTGTTGTATTCTGTAAGACGGAGCAGGAAGAAGACACGAAACTGCAGAGTAACTATATCCATCATGTTTTAATACTTCTGAAGCTTTTAAAAGTAGATTCCTCCACAGTTCGCTGATGTTCTGATCAGCTGGTGCTTTCCAACACAGTAGCATGAGTGAAGTCAGTGACAGGCATTTGTGGTGTGGATGGTTTAAAGGGGAAATAATCTGGTTATTTTTGTTGAACTAGCCACAAGTTCTGTACAAGGCGTCTACACTGTGATGAATAATGCCTGCTGATCTCTAGTTTTACTGGACAAGCTTCAATATCCAGGATGAACTGAAGAGTACAGGAAACCTCAAAGTTTTCTATTGCTGCAATGATCCAGGACAGAACACCCACTAACCACCAGCTAACGAACTACTTGGTAGGACAGAGAACACGCAGCTTTGTTTGCTTGACATCAAAAAGGCTCTAGATGAATATTTCAAGCTGTTTTTGCTGAGCACCTCATTCACACTTTAACTGACATTAACTGGTCTAAACACATTTTGTAGCGATGAAAACAAGCAGGAGTTAAAGAGTTTTCCTTGGGATGTTTTATGTAATTCTTTCCAACAAATCAACACTTCTGCCACCCTGAATGTAAAAAAACAAAACAAACAAAAACAAAAAAACACCATTAAAAGCTAAGAAGAACCCTCAGTCTGTGGCTGATTTGACCCATGTTTATACAGGCATCCATGATTGTTGGGTCCGTGTATGACTGTGCATAGGTCTGGGGAAACATTTTACTCTTGTAGCAGAAAGACTCTAGATTAGGATGAAGCAGACACAACAGCTCAGTCAGTGATTGGGTGGTATCTGGGTACAGTCACTGAACATGACTCGTGGAAGAAATCCAACAGACCACCAGTTAAAGAATGGTAAAAGCTACCTGGCACTGATGAGCCTTCCTACTCTACCTGCCACCTAAGCAGGTAAATTAGCTTGGAGGTTCAACTCTGAACCCAAACATCAGGCTGGATTTATCAAATCCAGATGTATGATTTTATCAGTCCCTGCATCTCTTCTCCCGCCCTGAGTTAAATAAAATGTCCTTACCCTGATGACCTACAGTACTCGGAGCCAGTTCTAGAGTTGGCCAGGCAGTGTGCAGTCCAACTGGAGCTAACAGGGATTTAAAAGCACGCAAGAATAAAAAAATAATCTGAAGTGGAAAAGAACTCTAGAGAAGTGTTGAGTGATCACACGGTGCTTTCGATTAGTCAAATAAATAAACGGATATAAAGAAATAAAGAGGAAAAATGCTGATTTAAAAAAAAAAATTATATTACAGAGGACCAGCCCCCACTATTGAACCTTCACATACCACCCGGCAGCAGCGAGACAACTCTGTAAGAACCTCCTGCTGTTCAACCCTGGCAGCTACAGAACTACTGTTTGTTCAATGCATTTACTGTACAAAAACAGATCTAAGAGGAGAGCAAGCAGCACGGAGGAAAGCTGTACAGTGTGTGTGTGTGTGTCAGAGAAGGGTGAGGCCGTCGGGCAGGTGAGAAGCTGCTTCAGATGCTGTTCAGAGATCCTGGTACTGAACTGTGTTGAGATGAGTCTGAACCAGTTCCATCTGAAGGAGAAGAGCAGGAGAGAGAGGCGAGCTGTGAATTAATGTTCCACAACAGCACTGGACATGACAATAGAACGTTTCATCTTTATACAGTAGTATTATACATTATACAGTAGCATGCAAAGGCCTGGGGCAAATGTTTTGTTCATTTTTGGTATGAAAAGAAAATACAACCCCTGCAGCAAACTGCATTAAAATGGGCCTTAAAAATAAACAGTAAAAACTTTCCAATAATAGTTATAGCTTTTGTACAGTCAGTGGAAGAAATGTACAGGGATAACTGCAAACTCAAAAGACGGTCGTGCCTCTCATTACACGCAATTCATACCCCACTGGTGGACATAAAAAACATCAGCGTAAATGACCATAGACATTTATCAAGAGACTGACAAAACCAAACATTTGAATCTTTTATACCCTAAAATAACAATAGGTAATTTAAATTAATTTGGAATAAAACAGACTTTCACTCATTCCCTGTACTAGAACTGTTTGAGTACATGATGATAAAATCTAAAGAGCATTTCAACGTTTTAAATTCCTGTTACTTGGATTTTTTAAATAATATTTATAATGTAAAAATGTATTATTTTAAAACCACACTTTTTCAGCAAGCTACAAAACCAAAACCAGAGACAGTGACATTATAACCAGTTTCCCACCGTAGGCGGAAGCAGCTGTATGCAAGCGAGCGTGAGGAGGAATAAGAGTCGAGTTCAGCTGGGGCTGGATTGACAGCTCTGCAGAGGATAAAAGAGATTTCATTTTATGATGAGTCACGTAACAAGAGGATAGCGTCATTTAACAAAAGAGCAGTGTCTGCTGCAGAACACCACTGTGGCTGTCCCCTCCATTCTGTGTGTTCATGTACCTGTGGTGCTGAAGTTGAAGAGCATCGGCAGTTCTCGGCCGCTGGGCAGTCGTGTGTTTGGCGGGCGCAGCTCGTTGAAGAAGTCATGTGCACAGGCCTCTAGTGGCGAGAGGCGTGAGGCTGGCGTGTACTCCAGCAGCCGAGAGCACAAAGTAATGGCCTCCGGAGGGGTACGAGGTTTGAACACCTGAGGAGCAACAGGAATTTTAGTGCAGATATCCACCTATGAAAAATGGCTTCAATGGGGGAAAAAAAAAAAAAAACGGTCATTGTTATAAAGCAACAAAGAAAGGACACTGAGGTGGTGGGAGACAGTGTGTATTATCTACTGGAGCTCAGCATGGCACTCCAATGTTTCATTTCATCAATCATGGTGAACGTCAAATGTCAAAAATAAAGAAGCCAACAGTAACTTAAGGTTACAACCGTTTCTGTGAGGTGCATCTTAAAAAGCAGTTAGCTGCAGTTTTTGGAGCAGGAATCTCTCCACGCTGTAGTAAATGTTCAAGGGCCACTTCTACATTGTTCCCGTAGTGTGTAGGTTTCAAGGTTAATCGACTTTCAGAAAGAGGACGTTACAACACTTCAACCAGCAGATTTAAAAAGCCTGTGTGGGCAACAACGCGCCCACGAGTTTTCTCTTTATTGTTCTAATAAAATGGTGTCATGCACAGTTCAGTACACTTTCAGGTCTAGTTTCCTTCTGCAGTAATTACCATCACATAAATTACTGTGCTGAGGATGTATATAAAAATTTCCCTCCTTTTGTGGAGCTGTACATAAAAATGTACGAAATCTGTCATCCAGCAATAAGACACGTCATAAGATTCATGACTAAAATAATAGCAATGAACATTAGAGCTGAAATAATTAATCAATTAACTGACTAGATAAATGGCACAAAAACAATCTTGCTAATATTCTAATTGTTGAAGTAATTTTTCAGATAAAAAGAAAAAATTCACATGCTCTTTCAGGTTTTGAACAGTTGGTTGGACAAAACAAGACGGGACGATATTTTATAGACAAACGTGCAAACTCTGAAACAATAACTGGTAATAAAAACAATCATTTTAATGATTTAATTTTAACTATTTAATTTTTCCATGTTTCCAGATTTTCTTTCTCAATTCCAGTACAAATTCACACAACGTGCGTTTCTGGAGTGATGGTTTTTTTTTGTTGTTGTTGTTGTTTTGTTTACCTTGGTCCATGGATGAGCTTTGATCTGAGGGAACTTGAATTCTGTGTAGTTTGGGTTCATCTCTCGGATTTGTTCCCTTGTCGGCGTTCCTAGCACCTGTAAATAGGTGAGGAGGGAGTATGAGCATTGTCCTGCAGACACACAACAGATACAATACAAATCCCACAAACACACACAAAAAAACATCTTCATATGTTGACACAAACTAATATTGTTATAATCTGAAAAAAGGGAAACCAGTTCACACAGAACACAGACATTTCAGCGACACACAGGTGCATGATAATTACACTCACCTTGATAATCTCTACTAGTTGGTCCACACCGCTGTCACCGGGGAATATGGGCTGTCCCAGCAGCAGCTCGGCCAGAACGCAGCCTGCTGACCAGATGTCAATATTTGCCGTGTAGTCTGTGGCCCCAAAAATGAGCTCTGGGGCGCGATAATACCGAGAGCAGATATAGGACACGTTGGGTTCACCGCGGACCAGCTGCTTGGCGCTGGGGAAATACAACAAGTCACATTACACAGTAATAGAGATTGCAGCAAAGAATGAGTGAGGACGAAGGGTTGGTCAAGGGATGAAAGATGTGAACTATTATGGAGAAAACAGTTACTCCTGCCACAGCAGAGATTTGCTTCAGCTTCCAGTGTGAAAAGGTCAATCATACAAATTAAAACCTGGTCAGGATCGAGTCCAAACTTTCACCACTCCCAGGCTGTTCGTATAATTACACATTAAAATCTCACACACACACACACACACACACACACACACACACACACACACACAGCCATGTAATGCAGATCGAATAAAACAGGAGAATCTATACTAAGTTCTTGAAGACGTACAGAATTCTTTAGAAAACCACATTAAAAAATATGTTTAATCCAGTTCTGTGTTTAGGACAGAAACATGCTGCTGGGTTGGTGCGGCTCACCTGCCGAAGTCACACAGCTTGAGGACGGCAGTCTCTGGGTCAACGAGCAGGTTTTGGGGCTTGATGTCTCTGTGACACACACCCTGGGAATGGATATAAGCCAGACTGCGAAACAACTGGTACATATACACCTGAGGATGTCACAACACAAGAGCAGCACAAGATCAGCTGTCCACACTGTGACAAAGTCAACAAATAAAAAGACAACATGTCAATAAAAGAATGAATATATGGTGCTTTCACAGGGTTTCAGACTGGTGGCATCAAGATGACCTCATGTGAGATGTTTAGGAACAACCCAAAAAAGGCATTATTTACACAACAGACATACAATATGACACATTACACTTTATTTATCTCCTTGGAGAAATTTAGCTTAGGCTCTTAAACACACAGTGCTCCAGGAATATACTAGATATTTTAATAAAAGCAACATCACAGTAGAGAGTAAATAAAAGGTAGTAAGACAAAATATCAGCAGCAACAACGAATCCAAATAACACAACTGCGGTATAGCTGATAAACAGGTATCAACAACAAGCAAGCAATAAATTACACAGTGAATGGTAAAGTGGCCTGGTGAGAATTACCTTCACATATATGATGGGAATGATGCTCTTGGCCTTGTTAAAATGCCTGGCGACCCTGTAGACCGTCTCTGGGACAAAGTCCAGCACCAGGTTGAGGTACACTTCATCTTTCTGAACAGCATTTAACAGAGAGAAAGACAGAAAGGTAAGGTTCTCTAAAAGTCTATGGTTTAACAGAACATTGCATTCCCTGCCCATGGTAACAGGTATCCAGTATTTTAAACTGCATCAGAAAGAGGAGGTGCCATTTCAAAAGCACTGATCCTACTTAGTGAATCATCCCACAAGCACATACAAACACTGAACCGCCAGCTATGCCGATTTACAAACCTTTTTGTAACAAAACAAAGGAACACATACACTGAGTATTCTGCCTTTCAGGCTTCAAATTATTTTGTTTGAAGGTTTAGTTTAATCCTTTAAGGGAAATACGTAAGCTTCAGCTAATTTCTTGGTTTATAATTCCCTCTAGTGGGCGAGCGTCTCCAACGGGAACTAAGTTTATATCCAGTTTTAGCCCGGACGTTTTTAGGGATACACTCAAGTCGTAAGACAACAGTTCACGGCTTTCTTGCAAGCTTTGGTGCTCCTTGGGTTAGCATAATCAGTAAGTTTCTGGTGCTATGTTTACTCTATGTATCATTATCTTGTGTCGTTTTAATACAGTGTGTTGTTTGAGTGTTTCTTTACATTGACGTTAACACATCCCGTTCTTCTCCGTGGGTATTGGCAACACTACGCTAGCATTCTGTTAGCATTTGTAGCCATCTTGCTTCGGTCTTTTATCCTGTTACTACAATGTTAACTTGGTGTGTCGTGACTTCTAATGTCAATTTATGTGTAATGTATTCGGATCACATGTTAAAACGAACATGTCCTTTATTTCTGTTTCAGTTTTACAACAAAGAGGAAAGAAAGAATAAATAAAAGTTCTACAATAGAGCTACAAAGAATTATTCGTCATCGTCTCCGGAGTTTTC